ACATGGCCATGCCGGGCCACATGTTGGTCATACAAGTTAAATATGACGAAATACTCGAGATTCGTAATTATTGGGCTGGCAGTAACATGATGATTTTACAAAACCAATGAAAAACAAAACAAGGATGTTAAGCAGAAGCTTTCTTTAAAATTGTCACTTATATTTTGTCATGTTTATGTCTCTTGTTAATTTTCTTGTTTTTACATTACATGAGATTTTATATACAAGTACAATATTTTTTTAAATGTTATAAAGACAAGTATCGATATATATATATGCGTAACCTAGCTAGCTATAGTAATATAGAAAAATTTAATGCTACAAAAAGTATTGAGACAAAAAAGTCAAAACTACAAAACTGAGTTACTTAAAATTTAAGATTTTATATCCCTATTTTGGCAAATCACTGTAGTCATGTTAGTCTGAGCCAAATTAAAGGTGATTTTTAAACGAGCGATTTTTATAAACGCCATTTTGTTTCAGCACGACCATTATTTTTAGGTACTACTGTACTTAATGGTAATACCTTTCTCTTTTCGTTTGTTGTTAATCACAAAGCTACGCAATGAGCTATATGAGCTGTGCCCACTACGGGTATTAAAACCCGGTTTGTAGCGTTAGAAGTCTACAAACTTGCCCCTATGCCATTGGGGCATATAACATCACCATCTATAGAGCAGATTTGCTTGCCTTGCTGATCGAACGGTGTTTTTACCATCATAGTGATCCGCCTTTGGTTTCATCAGGAGTGGTAGTAATGTCAGTTGTTGAACGTCATTACTGGCGATAAGTTTTTATTGCTGTTGAACGTCATATAGTGGCAATGATGCCCGTTGTAACCCTTTAACAAAAGTAATGATGCCTGTTGTAGCTTATCAATAGAGGCGATAATATCTGGTGTTCCACATCGTAGTGATGGTGATGACTGCTTTTACATAACTGTGATGGTAGGTGATGTCTTTTATTACAGATTACCAGTGGGGTTATAGTGTCCGTTTTTTCAACTCGGTCGAGGTGTTAATGTCTGGTATTGCACAGTGGTGGTGGTGGCTGTCGTTGAAAGGTTTTACAATGTATTTATCCCAACACTATTTTTATGGTTTACGTGGCGCTTGTTCTAGGTCATTTCTTGGTATCAATATGCCAGATGTAGATGATAAACGTTTCATTCCTAAAACATTTATGCCGTTTTAATGTAATACTTGCATACCTACTTAGTTTTTATTATTTTACATTTTTTTTTATACGAGGAGTGTTCATTTATTTAGATAACTTTAGTATAAACATTAAACCAAGAGTGAAGATTTCAAGAAAATCAAATACGCACTGATGGAATTGATCTTAATATCAAAACAGATGGCACATTACAATAACACACAAACAGCTATTCAACATGTAAAAAAAAAAAAAACAGCAACAAAACAACTTGATATCCATAATAGTGGTGAAAACATTTGAAACAAATACAAGAACAGTTGCCTTGCACGTGATTATTCAATTTCACTCTATAGCAGCAAATAAGGTTAAAATTAATTGATTGATATTACTAGATATACAAAAATGCAACTAAATAGGACACGATAAAGATCAGGCAAACACTTAGAGAACTACATAAGCCCCCCAGTGGCACAGCGGTATGTCTGCGTACTTACAACGCTAGAAACCGGGTTTCGATACCCATGGTGGGCAAAAAACAGATAGCCCATTGTGTAGCTTTGTGCATAACTACAAACAAACAAACAAGAACTATACAAAGACAAACGAACATATAATTTATATAAAATAAACGATCTGAAGCTAAAACATTTGGGATAATACTTAGACAAGATAAACATATAGATAAAATAAATATATATAGTTAGACGCACAAACACTTATATATATATATATACACACGACCAGGTTTATAAACCTGTTATATTTGTCTGTTGGAATTCGCGCCAAGCTACACGAGGACTGTCTGTGGTAGCTGTTATCAATTTTGAAATGAAAAACTAGAGAAAAGACAGATAGTAAACATCACCCATAGCCATCACTTATGTTAGCCTTATCAGACTGAACAGCAGTAACTTATCCAGGGGAGGGGTCCTTGTTACCCAGTTCCTAACCCCCTTATATTTCTATTTGACAACTGTATACAATGTGTACTGAAATAGTGGTCTCAAATTTTAACTTTTCGTTATCAAAATTACAATAAAATGCAATTCTAAAGTTAATCTTTTTTTTCAAAAAGTGAAGGTGATATATTTTCCCCCATAGATAAAATACAACACAAAATGTCTGCTTGGTCACACACAATTAACACTTGCAAACTTCACCATCTGATGGCTCCAAACTGCGGAGATTGAGTGATTTATTTTGTCGGCAGTAACGAGACGCGAACCCCTGACCTTAGTTCCACAGCCCACAAGCCAAACACTGGGCCACTTTCGGCCCGATATATAATAATAACTCTATGATATCTCAGTAATACTTACATTAATATTCACAAATCTAAAGAGGGAGATGTAAGACTTGATGCGTACAACGCATGTAATTATAATACTTTGTCATATCGGTGTGTGGTCGTAATTTTAAGTAAATACAAATAACTTCGATCATAAAATGGAACGGTTATTTTAGACCTCACCCCGGTACTTCGCAGATTACAGTACAAAGAGAAAGCGCTGAATTACAAGTATTGTTTACACTAACCCATAGACACAGGCTGTGGTTAACGAGTGACGGAGAACTCTC